TGATCTTATGAGGAAAATATGTGTTATTGTGACGAGGTGAACTGTTGCCTGTTTACTTGAATCTTTGAAAAAAGCCTCAAGCAGGTCATGATTGTTTTCCATGACAGTGTTTCAAAGTATCTGAATTTTAAATAATTTAAAAGCTAGAGCCTTTATTCTTTTTGCAGCCAAAGCAAAGACTTCAGTCTTTCATATAATCACTTCATCGAGGACGACAATAGGTTACGTTGTTGTTGAAATGTAGTGCAAACGTGCAGCTGGAAGGTACGACTGCAATGTAAACACATATATTTGCAATCTTGTTTGTTTTTTTTGTTGAAGGTTTTTTGAGGGGTTTTTTGTGCCTTTATTGTAGAGATAGGACAGTGGATAGAGTCGGAAATGGGCCAGAGAGAGAGTGAGAGAGAGAGTGAGAGAGAGAGTGAGAGAGAGAGAGAGAGAGGGAATGACATTCGGGAAAGAAACCACAGGTCGGAATCAAACCCGGGTCGCCCTTGGATGACTATAGCCTCTGCAATCGTGTTTTAAGTGAGCCATGATGGAATCTTTATAAATCTGGAGCTAACATTTTAAAAACTGTTTTTTTTATTGGTGCAGATTGTTTGTGTCTACGTTTAGATTTGTTTTGGATTGTTATGTTTTCATGTTTACTTTGAGAAAAAGCTGATCCAACTTCACGTCTGATGTCTGTGTCGATATGTCGATACTCACATAAATGTTTATATCTCATTGACTTACATAAACGTAGGCTGGGCAGATTTTAGAGGATTACATGAGACGATTCTCCAAAGAAATTATTTCACGAATAAGAAAAAAACACCAGAAGTAGACACCGGCAAACCTTTTCCATTTTCTCCTGGCTGAGTTCAAAGGGTTTCATACTGAATATTGATCAGCAGATTAAAATGCCTGCAGATCTGAGGAGAATAATTAAATCAAGTAAACATTAGTCTAATCCAATTATGAAAAAGTTGTTTCCAGCCCTGATAGAAGCAAAAAATGAAAAATCTCTTTCTGTATTTTTTTCACTTTTTTTTTCTCACTCTCACTCTCTTCATAGCACGATGAAGCAAAGTGTGCAATAGTTCATTGTATCTAAGCTTTTAGTTTTCAGAATTTGAGAGAGCATTGATGCTCAGCCCGGACCTCTATGTCAGAGTTTAGTCAGGTCGGAATTCCTTTAAATTGCCCTTCCTGACCTTAAACTGTCATTACTGAACTGGCTTGAAGTGCTCCACATCCGCCCCTATACCCACAACCTCTACATGTCTAGCAGCTCCGCACTGTTTTTAATGTGGACCCCTTGCTCAGTTTCTCTGTTTCCATGGATACGGACACAGTGTGTTCGGCATCTCTCGGCATTTGCCTCTCCAAAGGGCAGTGTGGACTCTAGATTTCCACCTTGTTTTTGTGCGGCTGCCTACGTCCGACCGAGGCCGACACAATATCCTCATAATGCATCTTTCTCTCTTTTCACACTGCACAGTGTTTTATTTTTCCAGGACTAATGAGGCAGGACGGCACAGACACTCAAGTGAACGTGACACACACAACGGCTGTATGCGACCTGTTTTCCAGGAAATAATACGCAGGCAGGCTCTATTTTCAGTACCTTGGACAGAACTCAAGAAGTAACTCAAGAAGTAGCTTTGTAAAGGATATATAGCTGTGTCCTTCAAAATCTCCTTCATTAAGAAATAGCACAAATGCATTATATTCCTACTTTCATGGACATTTCCTCATCACACTTTTTCACTCACAGAACAGTGGGTATGCTCTTAGGTCTGTGTGATTTCTCTAAAAGCAGGTTTACACATCTGTAATTACCGCACAGGTAGGTGGCAGTGAGTCATGAGAGCGTCCCATAACTTTGAATTGTTGCCTTGGGACTTTAATCTCTGCAACATTAGAAGCTTTCAAGTGTTGTATGTTAAAGGCTGAGATTTCTCACTCTTAAATATAATATAAATCAAGTATCTCCTCTGAAAATAACTCTGTGAGTCATGACTGTCTACAATGGGTGTAACACCCGAGTCCCACTGTCTGTGATGTTTTCAGAGTTTTCAGAGTCCTATCTTCAGTTTGTTTACATCGCCGGGACGGCCGGCTGACTCCTCCCCTCGTGTATAAAAGTTGTTTAATTGAGGGACTAGAGAAAAGAAGAATAACATACTGTACTCACTGCTTAACTGTGTTTCTAGATCACGCTCATTTCAGGTAAATTTACATGCAGTGTGAAGATACCAGCATAATAAAGATCGCTAGCATTAGCATGCTAACCACAATGCAGCGCAAGTTGTTTTGGTTTCATGCTGGTGCTCAAGGGCGACACCTGCTGGATGAAAAAAATTGCATATAAAGCCTTTAAGTTGCATCTTTCTCTAAAGCATTGCAGAGAAAGCATGTATTTCTTTTCTGATTCTTTGGGTAAATTGGCAGTATTTAAAACGATAGAAATGATAATTTAAGGAATGCAGAAGGGTTAACCAGATAACACCTCGTCACAGGAGCATCAGAAAATGTATTAATTAACAGCACACACCTTATCCTGTTTGTGATAAAAGTTTGAATCCGACACAAAGATTCCCAGCCCTGCTGACACATACCAGCAAACTTATCTCTCACCATTTATGTCTCTAGAAGAACAATTTTTTAAAAATCCCGGCAGATCTCTGCTCCAGCGAAGTAAAAAAAAAAAAAACGTTTAGCTAAATCAGCCAGAATCCACAATGACTTACTCATAAGTTTGTGATTTGAAGAATAAGTAAGGTTTATTATATTACAGTTTAAATGGATTCTATCACTTTAAGTAGGGTGATTATATTTCATTAGCTACTCATCTGACACTAATGTCACTAAACCTGCCAAGAACATTCAACTCTAAAAGACTACAGAAATATCCCATGATTTATTTCTGCACCTGAATGCCTCCTACATGAACTCTGATACTTTCTACCTGAATTCACGGTTATGTAATGAACATCTCTGGGTGGGTGTAAAGTAAACAGACTTTCCTCACTTGTCATGCGAGAGGTAAAGCAGGATTATTGTCTCGCTATGAACCCCGTGAACAACCCCCCCCCCCCCCCGGGCGACGGATTGGATTTAGCGTGGCGTTCTCTGTGGGGAATGTAAAAAGTGCACGGGAGATCTCACGGTGGAGGATGGACGGCGCGCTGGGATGATGAGATGATACACTTCAATCTTCCCCTTCTTTGTGCAGCGTCGCTCAGATTAACACAGCTTCCCAGTGCAAACAATCTGCAGAGGGGGGGGAAAAAAAAAAGAAGAAGCTTAATCTCTACTCTCTTGCAAATGTCAGTGCAATGACAAGATTCCTAAGGATACTTCTTTATTTCTAATCCTCCTCTAAACAATCCCATTTGGAGGATGCGTTCCCCCCCCCCTGAAAACGAAGATGGACGAGCTAATGAAGCTGAAAAGTGCTGCCACATTGTCGGGGGCCTGAATGTGATCTGCTGCCTCACACGCCTGCTTTTGTTGTATCATTTAAGCGGTGTTGTGCTTTGTCCCCCCCCCCTCCTGTCTGTGTAGAACAGTTGACCTTGGCTCACATGCCTCCAGGTGGGATCCCCAGCATACTAATGAGGGTTAGTGCGGAGGAATGCTACGCCATTGCTTTTTCTGTGTGTCAGCTATAGCCTGCCTCTGATCTTCACAACAATCGCCACCTCTGTTTGCTGCAGTTTAGACTGAGGCTTTTGTTTCATTTACTGCACGCGATGGTGGTGCAGACGCCGGTCTAGACGGGGAAAAGCGCTGCTGTGTAAGAACTTCAAATACAGTTCAAGGAAATAAATAGATATTTAAATAAATAATGTGAATGCTGCTGTGGGCCTCTTTACAGTAGATGAAGTCTGTTTTTGATATACAGCAGTGTTGTGTTACAGCTGCATCTTTATTTCTTTATTTTAGTCTAACTGGAAAGTGAGATTTAGTGAACAGGTCAGCACTTGGAGCTGCTTGCCGTCTAACAGCTGATTTCTGTTGTGTATTTTTTTTGTAATATTCAAAGGCATAATAAAAAAAAGATCATAAAAGCTAAAGACCCAGCTCTTACTAACTTAATGATGATGGTCTCCATATTATTGATGATGATGATGGTAATGACGATGGTTTTTGTTTGATAACGACGACTTATAAGATGGTTTCTATACTGATTAGAGCTCTCAAGAACTGCCCTCAATGTTGTGCTTTGTCTCTGGTCACTTCCTGTCAGCACCTGTGTGTCCAATCAGACTCAAAGCTGATCGTTTGCTCTTACTGACATTGTTCCCTTTTTTCTACATCCTTGCTTGTGTTGTTCTTACTCTCTGATGTACTTCGCTTTGGATAAAAGTGTCTGCTGAGTGAATTGTAGAATTGTAGAATTGAATGTGTAGGTGTGACATGCAGTGTAAAAGTGCTTTGAGTAGTCAGAAGACTAGAAAAGTGCTTTACAAGCTCAAGTCCCTTTACCATTTAGCATTTGCCCCGTTACATTAGCTGCATCCTAACTGGGATCTCTATTAATGTGAAGCTCTGTTTGAATCCACAGTACATGAATGAATCTCTCTCTGACTCCTCTTCTCTTGTGTCTGTCAACAGGGTGTCTGCATCATGACGACGGCCTTTCTGCACTTCTTCTTCTTGGCGTCGTTCTGCTGGGTCCTCACGGAGGCCTGGCAGTCTTACATGGCGGTGACGGGAAAGGTTCGGACCCGGCTCATCCGCAAGCGCTTTCTCTGTCTGGGCTGGGGTGAGTGAGCCTGCGATGTTTCCTTAAACCTCTTCATTATCTCCCATCATGCCTGGCGGCTTCCATTTTTCTCTCAAGGTCTCTGGCCAAGGTGTCTTTCCCAGTAACTGTAGGTCTATTTCCACCCCCTCCCCCTCCCCTCCCCCTGTCCTCATCCTCTCTGTGGGGGCAGCCAAATCTTCATCCTATCAGGGCTCTTTGTGTTGATGCTTTTGTGCACCAGTCAAGCTCTCAGAGGACCCGGGTAAACGGACTGGCCTTGAGGAAAGAAGGGAGACAGACTGGCGCGGCTCTCTCATAGCAGGCTGCAATGACCTTATGTCTGATAAGGAGGTGGGGGGGCATTTATACTGCAGCAGAAGACATTTTATCTAAAGACCCTCAGGTAGAGAGTTCAGGAGAGTGCAGTGTTTTGCAAAGGAAGAATATATTGAATTAGAAAACTCTAGGTGGTTCAGTTCGAGCGTCACATTTTCTGAAATCCTTAAAAGAGTCAACTTCTGAATCACTTCAGCATCATAATCTCGACATGTTGCAACATGCATCCAGTGAAATGTATTTCTCATCTATTAGTCAGGGCTGCAAGATTGTTTGGTTTTCTCCTGCCTCCCACGACCGAGTTCCCTCCACTTTAGTGTCACCTCACTGGAAAAAATCAACACATACAAGCATGACGATTATGCACCATCATCGGATGAAAAAACAGGCGGTCGAATATCTGTATCAAAATGTAAAAGATTTGGATTCTTCTTCATTTGATAAATGTCAGTCTGAATGCTCGTCCTGATCGTTCTTCCTTACCGACTACTAGAAATCTCTCAGAAATCAATTTGATTATGAAAGAGCCCACACTCATTCTTCTTGTTACCTAGCAACAAACAAGGCTCTCTTAGTCATTGCAGTGCCACTGCTTGCTGCAAAAAAAAAAAAGAAAACGGACAAAGGCTGTTCCACAATCACATAGATTTCTAAAATACGCCATAACAGGCAGTTTGAGGGTGAATAAAAACAGCAAGTGTCTCGTTGGATGACAATAAAAAATGCATTACATAATATAAAGGCTTTTTCTTTTTTTTTTACACTTGATGACTAGAAAATGAAATCACCCTAATCCTCTGCAGATTACCACCTGTGTTCAAACAAAAAGCATTTTTCAAAAGTGGTTTCCAGAGCGGTGTGCAGCGCGCAGTAACCTGTTGTCTCTCTCGATGCAGCAACCAGTTTGAAGTGCAGCGTCTCTGGCAGGCGGTGATTCATGACATGCTTGTGTACACTCTGCACTCTTTACCTCCTCGGCGCTGCAGAGAGAGGCACTGGATGGCCACAGGGTCTTTGCCTCCAGGAAACTGATTACATCAATAGCACCTGCCCGCGCTGCTGCGAGAGAGGGGGGAAAAGCGTTAATATTCTGAGCACACTGTAGTGAGAACCAGAATCCTCTATAACGAGGAGCACATACAGTAAAAAAAAAAAAAAAAAAAACCCTGTCATGGAAAAGGTGTGGAGGGTGAAGGGATTTCTTCTCTCTTACTGTACGCTGATGAAATTTCACTACCTGCTTTCTCTGGGCTTGCTCGATGCACTGCTGCCATTTTGTCAAAGCAGAGTACAGTCTGCTCTCCCTTCCCTCACCCGCTTAATGGAACACCGTGCAGTGTGTTGATATTATTGAAATGCATACAGTTGATCATATACTCTCAGATGATTGTGTAGTCTCATGCTGCAGCGTGTAATGGAGTGAATGTAGCTGCACTTTGTGAAATGACTGGATGGCACAGGGGCTGACTTTCCCCCTGCAGTGAAGTGGGCTCAGAACTGCTCAAATAACTATTGATTGTTCTCTCTCTTTTTTAAGGATTACCAGCTTTGGTGGTTGCTGTTTCAATGGGATTCACCAAAACAAAAGGCTATGGGACACCCTTGTAGTAAGTCTTTCTTTCCTTTTTTTGTTTAGTTCAGTATGCTGCACACTGTAGGTTCATGGCAACACTTGACCGTAATGATTAAGAGCGTCTGCAGTGGCTTACTTATCTTAAATAGGGCCATAAACAAAGTCCCCTGAACCCAATCAGATTTCAAAATAGCGCAGCAAGACCCCAATTGGATGTGAGTTGTATCCCTGCTGGATGCCGAGTGCATAAACACTGCTTAAAATCTCTTTAGCATTTTATTATCCTGTGAAACTTTTGGAAGCAGAGTTACAGCATATGGCGCTTCTCCCCTGACGATTCGAGGGGAAAACACAATTGTGTGCTGGTGTGCGCCATTAACTCGGATGTTAATGCCTTGGTGGGAGTTGACTGTTTTTCTCGCTTTCCCCTGCAGCTGTTGGCTGTCTTTGGAGGGTGGGCTCCTGTACGCCTTCGTTGGACCTGCAGCTGCTGTTGTTCTGGTATGTTTCAGGCGTCAGATGTCCAGCTTTAACTTTAATAGGCTTGGAATACAAGGGGGACGTCGATTCAAATCATCAGACGTTCACTCAGCATGTGTTGATCCCTTCATACCGCATAGCATCTCCACCAATCAGCCGTAACATTGACTGAATATGCAATCTAATGCAACCCAATACAACACGTCTACCATAATCTCTGCTTTTACAAAGCTTCTACAGTTTCAGTTTTTCGCTCACATGGTCAAAAAGACGACAGCTCTACTTCATATTTCATACTGAAGTCGTAGTGGGTGGTGTTGGTGCTCTACTGGAGTGAGGTGTTCCTGATATTTTCTGTATGTTAAGTGAGTGTGCGAAATATTAGCATCACCTTTTAATTTATTTCATTTAATCACACCACCGCTAAAGGAGAATTCATGGTAGAGTCGTTTTTTTTTGGATTGCATTAAATTAGATCACACAAGATTATCTTCAACATACACATCTGTCATTTAGGATTGTTAATGAGTATAATGTGTGTCTTGTGTATATCAGACACAGACAGGAGTAGGGGTTAAGATCATTTATGTTTGCAGGTCGTTGTTGTTATCTTGTGTTCAAGTTCAGGTTTTTTTTTTTTTTACCTGTAGGTAAAATAGTTCGCAGAGAGAGTCACTAATCCTTAATAAAACACAGACAGTACATAAAAACGTACAAAGTGCAAATGCACGGTACATGGGTTAAAGTGTTGAGGTGCATAAAGTCTGCATGTTGTGTTGTTGGTATCATCATGATGGTATGGTTCTTTGTATTGTTATCGTTTAGATTTGTTTCATGAACACTTAAAACCCTTTAAAATAAATACAAACTGTAGTTACAAAAATATATATTAATACACAAAGTTGACATTTGCAGCTTGTTTTCAGGTCCCAAGGTGCATTTCAATCAATCAATTAATCAATCAATTAATCAATCAATAAATCATTGTTGGTCTAGCGCGGATTCATAACAAGTGTTATCTCAAGGTGCTTTACAAAAGAGCAGGTTAAAGACCTCACTCACTGGTTAAAGACCTCACTCACTGGTAAAAGACCTCACTCACTGGTTAAAGACCTCACTCATTGGTTAAAGACCTCACTCACTGGTTAAAGACCTCACTCATTGGTTAAAGTCCTCACTCATTAGTTAAAGACCTCACTCACTGGTTAAAGACCTCACTCATTAGTTAAAGACCTCACTCACTGGTAAAAGACCTTACTCATTGGTTAAAGACCTCACTCACTGGTTAAAGACCTCACTCATTAGTTAAAGACCTCACTCACTGGTTAAAGACCTCACTCACTGGTTTAAGACCTCACTCATTGGTTAAAGTCCTCACTCATTAGTTAAAGACCTCACTCACTGGTAAAAGACCTTACTCATTAGTTTAAGACCTCACTCACTGGTTAAAGACCTCACTCATTAGTTAAAGACCTCACTCACTGGTAAAAGACCTCACTCATTGGTTAAAGTCCTCACTCATTAGTTAAAGACCTCACTCACTGGTAAAAGACCTTACTCATTGGTTAAAGACCTCACTCACTGGTTAAAGACCTCACTCATTAGTTAAAGACCTCACTCACTGGTTAAAGACCTCACTCACTGGTTAAAGACCTCACTCACTGGTTAAAGACCTCACTCACTGGTTTAAGACCTCACTCATTGGTTAAAGTTCTCACTCATTAGTTAAAGACCTCACTCACTGGTAAAAGACCTCACTCACTGGTTTAAGACCTCACTCACTGGTTCAAGACCTCACTCATTAGTTAAAGACCTCACTCACTGGTTCAAGACCTCACTCATTGGTTTAAGACCTCACTCACTGGTTTAAGACCTCACTCACTGGTTAAACACCTCACTCACTGGTTAAAGACCTCACTCACTGGTTAAAGACCTCACTCATTAGTTAAAGACCTTACTCACTGGTAAAAGACCTCACTCACTGGTTAAAGACCTCACTCACTGGTTAAAGACCTCACTCACTGGTAAAAGACCTCACTCATTGGTTAAAGACCTCACTCACTGGTTAAAGACCTCACTCACTGGTAAAAGACCTCACTCATTGGTTAAAGACCTCACTCACTGGTTAAAGACCACACTCATTGGTTAAAGACCTCACTCATTGGTTTAAGACCTCACTCATTGGTTAAAGTCCTCACTCATTGGTTAAAGACCTCACTCATTAGTTAAAGACCTCACTCACTGGTTTAAGACCTCACTCATTGGTTAAAGACCTCACTCACTGGTTAAAGACCTCACTCACTGGTTAAAGACCTCACTCATTGGTTAAAGACCTCACTCATTGTTAAGAAAAATGGGATAGGGGGAGATGTGATAAGATGCAGGAAGGATTTCTCGTCTCGTTCCTGTTGTCCTCTCTCCCTTGCCTTTGAGGTGGAGGTCGCAGCAGGCCGGGCATTAGTGTAGTTTCATCGATGGTACAGTATCATTATGGCACAACTACAGTATGTTAAAAGTCCGCTAAACGTTGCTTTGAAAATGGCTAACAAGAGGAACACACTCACTGCTCTCAGAGTCAAAGTAATGAGCGTCCCATCAGGCGATGTTCTCCAGTAATTCCCTTTCATTTACATTAATGGTTCTCCATGTAGCTCTGAGGTTATAAAGTATTCATTCATTAGATCTGTGCTTAATGTAAAATAGTGCGTTTTTTTAAAATTCATCTTGTATTTACACTGTTGTACAGAGGGAACGACACAGATTATGATTATGCAAATCACTTCGTGTGTGTCAGAGGACCAGAGGACTGCGGGATGAAACATAGTGGGATATTTCATTATCTTAACGTCTGCTCTGTGACGGGTTGGAAAAAGGAAGTTATTAAAGAAACATCTTTAGTTTGAGCTGTGGATTTCATTCACGACCCTGCAAAGTCCAAATGTACACTCTCATAAAACGATACTGTAACATCATATTCAAATGATTCACATTAACAAAGCTTGTTGGCTGAAAACTCCCCCCAAATGCATTCCGATGAATACTTAATGAGCTCTTTATCTCAGCTGAAGGGTTTGGAAATAGATCGCAGCCAAACAGACTTTTTCTTCCCATGATTCTCCGAGTCCCGCTCAGTTTTTTTTTTTTTTTTTTGCTGTTAGTGCAGGCGCGGCTAATAATAGGAGAAGGTGCCTTTGAGAAGACAAGTGTTTCTTGTCAAGCCGATTCCTTTTCTTCAGGCCGTTTGCACTGGGCTGAGTATCCAGAGCATGCATGCCTCATGCATTGGCTGAAATGTCAGAGATGAGCAAACAATAGAAGCTAGAGGTCAAAGCTCAGCGCGGACGCGACATCAGGGAGCACAGCCCCGCGGGATGATGACATTAAGTCATCGGCTACCTTCAGTTTGTTCTGGGGAAAGTCAAGCAGGGGATTAAACAACATATGTATCGCTGTTTTCTTTAAATAATCTATATGAAGAAAAGCTTACACTCGTGTCTCTTCTCTTTCAGGTCAACATGGTGATCGGCATTTTGGTGTTTAATAAACTCGTGTCCAGGGATGGCATACTGGACAAGAAGCTGAAGCATCGAGCAGGGTATGACAGCACGTCCTTGTTAGTACCTCCGTTTTCTTCTTCTTTACATTTTTTATTCTACATGCAAACATATACATGTGCTTTGATTTTTTGCGTACACACACATTTCAGACCTCCCTTTTTCCTCACTGTTTCACTGAAAGGGAAATTAGAGGCATAAACATAAAGAGGTCAGATCTCTCTCGGGAGCGACATAGCCGCTTCCTATTTCTTTGGCAGAATCAGTCCAAGATGAAAATCATTAAAAAACACACCCACACATTGGCTGCTTCTGCTGCTGCTAACATGACGGGAGAGGAGAGGAGGGAAGGGTTTGGGGGGGGAGGTTTGAAAGGCGGGATAGTGGCTGTTAGCGTTGTTTGTCATGCTGTTGTCTCTTATGTCCCACAGACAGATGAGTGAGCCGCATACAGGATTAACTCTCAAGTGTGCCAAATGTGGTGTTGTATCAACAACTGCTTTATCAGCAACTACAGCTAGCAATGCAATGTAAGTGCCTGTCAGTGTCTCTGAAGCAATAAGACGATGCTACAGGGAGCATGTACAGTGTGTCCACCCCCCTTTAAATATAGACCATCCTGCAGCCCACTGCAGCGTAAACTCATCTTCCTGTTAGACCCACTGTACATGACATCCACACTATAGGAACATACAATCAATACTAGCATGCACATAACAGCTCTGCTTTTGTGGATGTGGATTTTAAAGATGGAGATGTTTCCACTATCTACTCGGCCGTGCTCGCTTTTTTTATTTCCTGCACACAATCTCCTTCCCTCCCTCTTTCTCTCAGGGCGTCCCTGTGGAGCTCCTGCGTCGTCCTGCCTCTGCTGGCTTTGACCTGGATGTCTGCGGTGCTCGCCATGACGGACAAGCGCTCCATCCTCTTTCAGATCCTCTTCGCCGTCTTTGACTCTCTGCAGGGTTTTGTCATTGTGATGGTGCACTGTATCCTACGGAGAGAGGTAAGGGGGAGGATTCTTGGCTCCTTTCTTTTTTTTGTTTTATGTTACTGGGAATATTTCCACCGAGATACAAAATCCCTTTAAACAAGCGAGCGCTGGCCAAGTCGTAGAGAAATTGTGAGAACAAGTGAAACATAAAAGAACAATTGACATACTTATGAAACAGAAATAATGGATAAGCAGTGTTCAGGAACAAGACAAGTGCATTCATTTGAGAGATAATCTGTCTGTAATCCTGTTTCTAAAAAACCTTTATGACATCATCTGGTGAGAGTTGAATCTGTAGCAGAGACGAAGAAGAGAGAGCAAAAAACATTCAAAGCACTTTTACCAAACACACTTTGAGAAATTACTTATTTAATGTGTGCAAGGTCATAAAAGGGTTTCATTTTTTGATTCATTTTTTTTTAATTCTGTTCTGACTTTTCAGTTTAGATGGAACAGGTTTTCAATTCTTTGTCAGTTTAGCTCTTAAATGTGAAAATATTTTTTTTGATTGAAAGATTAAGTAGTGACAGAAGAACCTTGATAAGAGCGTAGGTCATGTAACTAAGCCATTATGAGGAAAGGTTTCAAGGTTGTATAAGCGAGACAAATCAACCATCTTTTACAAGCTGCAGTGATTATTCAGAAACCTGAACCAGAGACAAATCCCAACGGAGAACGTTCACTGAATTCAACATTTCTAACAATCCTCTGATGAGATCAAGAACGTGTTTCTGTTTACTGCAAATACAAACTCTCTGTTTAGTGAAACATTGAAGGAGTTGATTTGCTGAGTCACAGTTACATTTCTAGTTGGAAAAAAACTCATGAATGAATGAAAGATTTTTATTTTGGCCATTCATTAAAGAATAACAAGAATCAAAATGTGTGAATATTCAGCTTTCAGATAAGAGCTAAGGCCCCGTGTCCACCTGGAGTTTTTTTTCCTGAGCCTTTGCGGCAGCATTCAGCCACCCGGAGAAAAAGCTCAGCGCCTAGCGTGCTCCGCCTTTATTCGCGCGCCCGCTCCGAGCGCTCAAATCTAAAACCTTTTAACTTTTCAGAAAGGTGCTGTTGACGTCACCGGCGCTCTTCTGTACTCGATCCTCTTTGCTCCATGTCTGCTGGGGTATAAACATTTTCAATACAAAATATAAAGTAAAAAGCAAGGGAGCAGCGTAAATCATATATAAGCTGTTGTCGACAGACTGTTGCCATAGAGACAGGACAGACGTGCATTTCTTTTCTGCCAGTGCACAAAAGCTCCTAAGTGCACAGCCAGCGCTTTTCTGCCCTGTAAAAACTCTAGATGGACACGGGGGCTAACACAACTTTACATGTTGACACTGGTCCATTTCACAAGATAAACTCCACAAAATCAAAGATCCAAAAAGGGAAGAGGCTGAAACCCAAAGTTTATTTCTGCCTGTCATATACAATCCTTAATATAACCCAGATCATCAGTAATACATAAAAGAAAATAACAAAAGCAGATTTTATTGATTAGTTTACATTTCAAGGTTCTTCACAATTTCAGCTCATCACTACGGCTGCTCCATCATCCTCTCACCCCAGTGGACATGATGTAACACGGTCTCTCCTTTTCTTTAGGTCCAAGATGCTTTCAGATGTCGTCTCAGAAACTGCCAGGACCCAATCAGCGGCGATGCAACAGGAACCTTCCCCAACGGGCATGCTCAGATAATGGTAGGCCCCCGGCCCGCCCTGCAATCTGTAACCATTAGCTCCTCTATAATTTATGCAAACCCAACGTTCCCCTGGTTATTTACAATACACATTCAAAACCCTCCTTCCTCCCCATTGACCCCCATTTAACTTGTGCTCTTCATGCTCGTTTTTTTTTTCTTCTGCTTTTTATTATTCAAATAAATACGGCCTCTAAAACATGAGGCATTGTTTCCCATTGGTTCATAATTTTCCAGGTCACACTTTTTGCAGAGCAGCAATTACATGCGAGGAGGACACTTGGCCCTCTGATAAATGGCATTAGTTCCCTTTGGTTTTCTTAGGCCCCGAGCCCAATCCTTTATTTCTGTTTGATTGAACTTGCTGTCCATGTTTTGCCATGCATCCCCTCTCATTTCCTCTCGCGGGGTGATAGCGGACTGTTCCCTGTCCTGACCTTTGAAATGGGACACCAGTCTCTTCATCTAGGACGACCCCGCCACTGGCACATCATCGCAATGATACGCCATTAGTATTCTAATTCCCCCCTCAGAGTGAAACAGTTTCCACAATAGCACAATGGTGCAAACGCCCCCCCTGGTTCAATACAGTCATTAGCAGCCAGCACAAAATACTTCTCCATATGCTGCAGCTGCATTTTCCTTCCAGAGATGTTTTATTGATATATTGTTAGGATAAAACAGAGAAGACAAAAAACGCCTGCTTTGCATTTCATTAGGAATGAAAAAGAATAGATTATCGATTCAAATCTTGCCTCATGTTTCTGGAATTTGCACTCATACAGTATTCATCACAAGAAGTCTTAATCCGACTGTTTGATCTTCTTTTTCTTCTTCTTACAGACGGACTTTGAGAAAGATGTGGACATCGCCTGCCGATCAGGTAAAGAACAGATGGTGGATTAACAAGCTTCTCCTCTCCTTCCATGTTTAAAAAAAAAAAAAAAAAAACCCAAAAAGAGGTTAGACAGTAAAAAAATAGCCGAGGTTACGTAACAACTCCGCAATCCCCACAGGAGCTTTTTCACAGTTACCAAAAAAAAAACACAGACTTTCATCTGAGGACAAAACAGTATAAAGAGAGCTTCTGGATATTCTGTTTTATTTGCTGCGATAAAATGTGAATAACAGGTAGAATTTCCTCATCTTCTCATCATGATGGTGCAGTCACACCTTATGATTGGATTTTTTCATGAACATTTCGATGATAGAATAGCTGCGTAGGTGCTATCTACCTCATTTTGGGAGGATTTTTCTTCCTCGGCTCATGCTAAAAGGGAATGTAATATTTCTCCCTGATTTTCTGACTCTGCGGTCTGAGCTCTGGTTAATCGTTGTCAGATAAGTGCAAGAATTAATAAACCCAATCTGAATAAAATGTTTCTGAAACATGTTCAACAACCAGAAAAAGAACCAAACCGCCCCGTCTTTCTCCAAATCTGTACAAACCAACGAAGACCGCAATCCTTAAATGGATCTGCAGGGAATACCCCAAGCTGGCCATTTATTCAGAGCTCTCAGAAACACAGCTTGTTAAGAGAAGAGAGGAAAAGTGTGTCTGACCCGAGCTGCTTGATGCTGTGCAGTCGTGTAAAAGCTAGAGTGGACGTCCTCAGAAACAAAAAAGGCCATGCAGAGCAGACAGGTGTCATTCATAAATGATGACCGGGACCCAGACAGACTTTAGAGCTGCACTGAGACCGACATGCACTTAGACGGATGAATCTCCGAGCTCACAGACTCTTCAGTTGGTTGTTTACAAACGGGGATTACAGTCTGACGCAGATGAAAATATTCTGCAGAGTCACCCCGACACCAGAACATCAGTGGAAACTTTGAGGAATCACTCAGCATGGATACGAGGAGTGTTTCTCCCCCAGTCCACGCTGAGCATTAAGAGACTCAAAGAAAAAAAAGGGAGAGTATTATAGTTTAGTTGTTGTGCTTGTTTGTAATCTCCCTGCAGGCCTTTTTGAGAACAGACAACATAATACCTACTGATTCGAGAGAGAAGGATTCACATGCTCAGCAGGGAGGACAGGCTGTTCTTGTAACCAGAAGGTGTTTCGAAATAGAAAGCTGCTGTTTTTTTAGAACATTTGGTGCATCACAAGGTCATCACCAATCACCGACTTAGTATTGGGATTCTGTATGTATGCAGAGAGGACCACAGGGAGCAAATGAAACCTTATTTACAGTTAAATCCTCCAGAGGCACCTGTTCCTACTGATGTGCAGTGTCACCCTCAAACACTGATCACAGCTCCCATCGTTACTGATTTCCCTCAAAGTCCTCTGAGAATTGCTTCCTATTGATTTGAGTTCCCTTTCTTTTCCTGGTCACACGTTTGATAATCTTGTGACACTTCTGTCATTACTGAGAAATTCCCAACTAATCCCTGTTTGTCAATCTGCCCCGTTAGCGCTCCACAAAGACATGGGCTCTTGTCGCGCCGCCACCATCACCGGCACCCTCTCCCGCATCTCGCTCAACGACGAGGAGGACGAGAAGGTCCCCGAGGGCCTCAACTACTCCACGTTGCCGGGCAACATCATCTCCAAAGTGATCATCCAGCAGCCGTCGGCGCTGCACATGTCGATGGGCGTCGGGGATCTGAAGGAGCAGTGCATGGCCGACGGCGGCACCGACCTGCGCCGCGCCGTCTACCTGTGCACCGACGACGCCATGCGCCAGAGCGACCACGACATGGGCGGCCACCACGACATGGAGGGCCACCCGGCGCAGGGCCAGATGATGGAGACGGACTACATAGTCATGCCTCGTGCCTCCGCCGCGGCGTTGTCGGGGCAGTGTAACATGCCCACCTTGCTCAAAGAGGACACCAAGATGAACATCACTATGGACACGCTGTCGCACGAGAGGCTGATGCATTACAAGATGAGCCCCGACTTCAACATCAGCCCGTCGGGCTTGGACCACATGAATGTGAACCTGGAGCAGCAGTATCCTAGCGCTCCGGAGCAGATGCAAAACCTGCCCTTTGAACCGCGCACCGCAGTTAAGAACTTCCTCGCCGAGATGGAGGAGAGTGCGGGGCTCTCTCGGAGCGAGACGGGATCTACAATATCCATGAGCTCCTTAGAGGTACATTTCTTTATAATGTGGATTAAGTTTAGAGAGAACAGAGCTGCAAAAAAAACATCAGATATAGGATAGGATAAGACTTTATTGATCACCAGAGGGGAAATTCGGGCATTGCAGCAGCAAGACAGAGAAGGAAGTAATACAAAATAAACAGGATAGATAAGATGAATACAGATAGAAACAACAATACGATGTATATACAAAAGAATATAAATAGCTAAACAATACAAGACAATTAAGAATTCTGTGTAGTGGATGGCAGGTTAAAGTGACCAGTGATGATATAAAGTGACTCAAACAGCAGTAAAAGAGTAATGATGATTATACTATATCAGATCTACTATATATATTCTATATCTGATCAGATTTATCAGGCACGTACATAAATGCATGTATCTTTCTCATCTAACGACTTCATGCCTTCATTTTTCACTTCCACAGAGACGAAAGTCGCGATATTCTGATCTGGACTTCGAGGTACGTACAAAAAAGGTTTCTCTTTACAGCACATGCATCTATCTTTTTTTTATTTTATGCAGAGACAAGCCATTGTTTTTTTGCAGTTGTGTTTGTCATTTGATTTACTAGTACTTGTTGGTGCCTCTTAAGCTTATTGGAGTTACACAGCCTTGACTCAACATGATTTATTGACCTGCTGTGTAGTTAAGGTAAAAAAGCAAGGCTGTCAACTGACAAACAGGGCAACAGTCCTCATCCACATTTTGTCCTCCCACACATCCCCTACATCCATTAGCTATACCTTGATTTCTTATAATGTATGCTTCTGAAGTCATTTGCACATTTCACGTCTGATTTGACCACCGGTTTCAACAATGATCACATTGGCTTGCAGACACTTTTTGAAATCCCCCCTTTTGGCAGGTTTTTTCAGCATTTCCTTTGCATTGTTAAATCAGGCTGTGTGCTGCATATATATTGGACACACTTGCAGAGTAAAGGAAACGCGAGGATTTCTGGCAGCTCTTCTGGCGCGGGGATGCACTTTGTTTTTTAGCGAAGATGCACACCAACCCCTACAAATGGAAGATTTGTGCCAAGGTTTGATTGTGAGAGTTTTCCCTTACGCCAACAAAAAAAACTCTAAAAAGAGGCGATTTGTCACCGAAGAGTTATGTTGAATTTAGACACACCAAATGAAAACCGTAGTCGTATCACACTAACTTTAATTATCTCGGTGTTTCCTTTATTCCAGCAGTCACTTGTATATATATATATATATATATATATATATAAATATATATATGCAGACACAAGTAGTTCTGTTTCCAACCTGGCCTATACGTAAACTGCAATGACACTAAAGAATTGATCAGAGTTGGAGGGGGTGGAGAAGAAGATGCATTTTTCCATTATTGGCTGTCAATACCAAAGCAAAAAACCCTTGCCATTGCAGAAAGTCATGCACACCAGGAAAAGACACATGGAGCTGTTCCAGGAACTGAATCAGAAATTTCAAACCCTGGACCGATTTCGAGACATACCAAATATGGGCAGCATGGTGAGTAAGAGGAAACAAGGGGGGGTGGCGGTTAGGCAATTGAAGAGAGCTAACTTCTTTTAGATATCCGGTGCAGGACACGTTATGTGTGATTGTGCAAATGAGCGGTAATGCAGATAAAAGTGTTCATGTGGAAGGGGAACTTACTATACATAGTGATCCTGCCAGCAGCTGGTGCCCCTGAAAAAGCATTTTCTCCACAAGGCCAGTCTCAGGGACCAAAGACTTTTTCTAACCTTTTATTGTTTTTGCAGTAGAGTGCAGCCATTCCAATGCAAGGCCATGAATGCACTTTTATTTACATGCACATTTATCGACTTTAGCAACCCCCATCATTTTTTTCCATTAATGCATGGCAGATGATTTAATCTATCCACAAATATTACCTTAAGTTTGTTATTCTCTTACTGTGTGGGTGAGGGGGCGGGGCTTTTTTTTGTTTGTTTTTTCTTCCTTTTGTAACCTTGGATCTAGAAGTCAAGTGAATTATGGGGGAAATCCTTTTTGACCTCAAAAAGCCCCACCGTCCGTCTGTCTCCAAACACCTGACTGGAGCTGCAGCACACACTGGGCATGTCGAGCTCTCACAGACAAGCAGTAGATGTTTCCAGTACTGAATGAAACAAATAGAAAGTGGGCCGGTGACCAAACACAGCCAGACTTTTTGAGACAATGTCAGGCCACGCAGCAGGTCTTTTTGGCTGCATGTAATCCTCTTTCACTCACATTTCAATCACCCCTCCAGCACAATGTAATCTGAAGCCCCGTTGCTTAGTTACCAGTTCAAGTTCCTTTGTATGGAAAGAGATAACTAAAGTACACTCTCACTCCTCCTCCCCCTTTTTTTTTTTCCACGACTGAATCTTCTGTAGAGCTGGCTGCAGACATTAGTATCCATTTTAAATTCCCTGAATGAGAGCAGCTTCTCACCCCTTATTTTTCTGTCTGTGGGGCTGTCAATGAGATCCCATTCAGATGAATGGCTCACACATGACGCCCTTATAGAGCACCAGTTTGTGAGCTCGGGGGGGGGGACATAATTCTGCTCTGACTCCATGATAATAGTGTGAGCATGGTCACATTTAATACACAACCATTATGTTTTTGTTATTTGATGCTTTCCACAGCATTAATCCATTACTTTCAATTAGCAACGGGTAGGAATTCATACGAATGCCCTGATGAATGAAGTGACTTTGTCAAGAAATTTACAGTTTAGCTACAGAGGATGTCATGCCACTAATATCACACCCCACTGGCCGTGTTCACAGGACAAGGCAATGCCAAACAAGAACCCATGGGAGAGCTACAATCCAGCCTGTGAGTACCAGAATTACGCCACTATGAATGTACTAGAATCTGGCACCAAGGACTCGCTGGAGATGACGCCCGCAGAGTGGGAAAAGTGTGTCAACCTACCCTTAGACGTCCAGGAGGGAGACTTCCAAACGGAGGTCTAGAGGGGCGGAGAAAAGGAAGGAGAAAAATGCAA